TTTTCAGGAAGATGTGGGCAGCAGGCAGGTTTGGGAGTTTCTGTGCAGCTGCAGTTGTCAGGAATGGATTTGTGTTTCGACTACTCCAGAGGCAGAAACTGTAGCGCTGCTACAGGTGGGGAGGAAGCAGAACCTGTCACATCTCCTGATGTCTAGGAGACCTAATGTTATCTGTGTGGGCTCGTTAGTATCTGTGACGTCATTACACCAGCCAGACAAAGGCAGGAGGAGCTGAGCTTCAGATATTTTCTCACCACTTCCATCACCGTCTCACACTTCAGCTCAGACGTGCTCAGAACTCATCATCCTGGTCTGCAAACAGGTTCAATGGTGCTCAAATTATGAAATGAATTATAAAATTATGAAAAATGTGCTGCTGTGTGCATTATGAGTAAACATCTCAACCCATGTGAGTTTTCCCTACAACTGATGCAGATTTTCAGAGTGTATTTCTTGTCAGTAGGGCTGCCACGATTAGTCGATTAGTTGACGACTAATCGATTATTAAAATAATCGATGACTAATTTAATAATAAATTAATCGTTTTCTTTTTTTTTGTTCTTTACTTTGTTTTTCTCTCCAAACTGCTTTGACACCTTCCACTGCCACATCTGCCTTTCTGTCCTTGACACACATGCACAGTAGTGGTAACTGGGGTAGGCCGTGGACGTCACAAGACATTATACAGACAGGCTCTGGTATCATGGCTACCTGACAACAGAGCTCAAAGTGTGGGATCATTTTAAGAAAATGAAAGAGAAACCTGTGTAATATCTGCAGAGCAGAACTTACCTTCCACAGCTATTATTTTTAGTTAGCATATAGCTAAAATCTAACCATGGTTATATAATAGCAGCTGCATTTTGGCCCGATAAGCTGTATGTTTTATATTCAATTAACGTATGATCTGATTAGTCGACTAATCGAAAAAAAAATCGGAGATAAATCGATTATAAAAATCATTTGTGGCAGCCCTACTTGTCAGTATTTCTTTTTCATTTCATAGAACTAAACAATTGTTTAACTTAAACGGATGTTTTCAACAAAAGTGATTCTCAAGGTGGTGTGCAACCTGTAAGTGGGTCACAGACCTGTTTTTAGTTGGTCTTTGCCTGGGCAAAAAGTAAGTCTGTGCTGGTGAAATGAGTCAGAACGAGCTCAAGCTGCTGTGAAAATCGTACATAACTGAAAAATTGTGTCCAGTGGAGAAGAGAACCACTGCCTTAGAGGACTTTGAACTCTTTGTTATAATCTGTCCATCTACACTCACCGGCCACTTTATTAGGTACACCACGCTAGTAACGGGTTGGACCCCCTTTTGCCTTCAGAACTGCCTCAATTCTTCGTGGCATAGATTCAACAAGATGCTGGAAGCATTCCTCAGAGATTTTGGTCCATATTGACATGATGGCATCACACAGTTGCCGCAGATTTGTCGGCTGCACATCCATGATGTGAATCTCCCGTTCCACCACATCCCAAAGATGCTCTATTGGATTGAGATCTGGTGACTGTGGAGGCCATTTGAGTACAGTGAACTCATTGTCATGTTCAAGAAACCAGTCTGAGATGATTCCAGCTTTATGACATGGTGCATTATCCTGCTGAAAGTAGCCATCAGATGTTGGGTACATTGTGGTCATAAAGGGATGGACATGGTCAGCAACAATACTCAGGTAGGCTGTGGCGTTGCAACGATGCTCAATTGGTACCAAGGGGCCCAAAGAGTGCCAAGAAAAGATTCCCCACACCATGACACCACCACCACCAGCCTGAACCGTTGATACAAGGCAGGATGGATCCATGCTTTCATGTTGTTGARGCCAAATTCTGACCCTACCATCCGAATGTCGCAGCAGAAATCGAGACTCATCAGACCAGGCAACGTTTTTCCAATCTTCTCTTGTCCAATTTCGATGAGCTTGTGCAAATTGTAGCCGCAGTTTCCTGTTCTTAGCTGAAAGGAGTGGCACCCGGTGTGGTCTTCTGCTGCTGAAGCCCATCTGCCTCAAAGTTCGACGTACTGTGCGTTCAGAGATGCTCTTCTGCCTACCTTGGTTGTAACGGGTGGTTATTTGAGTCACTGTTGCCTTTCTATCAGCTCGAACCAGTCTGCCCATTCTCCTCTGACCTCTGGCCTCAACAAGGCATTTCCGCCCACAGGACTGCCGCTCACTGGATGTTTTTTCTTTTTCGGYCCATTCTCTGTAAACCCTAGAGATGGTTGTGCGTGAAAACCCCAGTAGATCAGCAGTTTCTGAAATACTCAGACCAGCCCTTCTGGCACCAACAACCATGCCACGTTCAAAGGCACTCAAATCACCTTTCTTCCCCATACTGATGCTCTGTTTGAACTGCAGGAGATTGTCTTGACCATGTCTACATGCCTAAATGCACTGAGTTGCTGCCATGTGATTGGCTGATTAGAAATTAAGTGTTAATGAGCAGTTGGACAGGTGTACCTAATAAAGTGGCCGGTGAGTGTATTTTCTTCCTCTTATCTGGGATCAGGTCGCGGGGGCAGCAGCCTAAGCAGAGAGACCCAGACTTCCCTCTCCCCAGCCACTTGGGCCAGCTTGTCCGGGGGAATCCTAAGGTGTTCCCATGGGATTCAGTTCCCAAATAAACTGAAGGAAAATGTATGTCTGAACTATTGATGATCAAATGTGGAGTTATATATTTCTTATGTACTGTGATTAAGCTGTGATTAAAGAGTGTATGTTGTGGTCATCTCAGAACAGACCGTACTTAGATGAAAACATGCCTCACACTAAATAAGAAGACAAACACAGTTTTTTCATCAGATTGCAGATTGTGATTTTACTCAGACCGACCTGCTCGGCAAGAAGGGCTTTCTGTATCAGTAGCGTCTTTTGCCGCGGAAGGAGTGGGTCAGTCTGAAGGTTGTATATAAGAACTGTGTGATTTCATGGTTTGGGGCCAAAACTTCAAGACTTGATCAGGTCTGCTTTGGTCCAGCTGAAGGTTGTGTAAGACTTTATATTTATCTGCAATTAAATGTTCAAGACTAAGATCAAAACGTGTCTCCTGGTTTATTCTCGCTCGTCATTAAAAACACAACTCTTTACAAAGTCATATATATTCTTGACTTTTTCTAATTGTCCTGTCCTGTCATGACTTTTGACCTTTAACCTGCTTACTGAAGCCTGTAGAGTCTGAGAAGGAGCTCATTTCACTGGAAAACTGGGAAGGTTTGTAGCAGCCTTAATGTTTTCAACTCATGAATAATCTTTCACTCTGGAGAATGATGGACTAAATAGTTTGTAAATGATCTTTGACCCTTCCTAAATTAATGGACAGCAACAGCTGCAACGGAATGATGGACTCCAAATAGTAATTTGTATCATTGCTGATGTCTGTGTGCCTTAGCATTGTTTTAAAGGGGCAATATCATGTAAAATCAACCTTTTTGAGTTTTATATCATGTTATAATGTTATACTCTCATAAAAACATGCTCAAAGCCTTGTTCTGACTCATTCATGCATGTTTGAGAAATCCTGCAGAGTTTTTAGTCAGCCATGCTGAGGAGCAAAACGACAGGTGGGGACCAGAAACACCTCTGGGTTGTGTCTTTAAGCTGAACTTCCTCATGGCAGCCCCCACCCCACGCACACAGACACACACACCCCGCCATTGACTCCTGCTGGCTCTCGTCGGTAAAAGAGCAAACAACGGGTGAAACTGAAAGTGAAACTTAAACTGTCTGCTGAGATTCACTACTTGTCACTCAGTGAAGCTCTTTTCAGATTCAAAATACCTTTGAGGAAATGTATTTTCAGATGCCAAGTAAACTGCATCATGGCCCACGCGTGAAACCCCCCCCCCCACTGAAATGGGCGAAACAGAGGCGGAAGGTGGTTCTTAAAGAGACAGAGGCCAATTTCAAGGCGTTTTGAAGAGGAAGTGATCAGAAGATTAGTTTATTTTCTATTTAAACATAAAAACGGCATTTTAATAACAACTGAAGGTGACATAGATACTTTATTATGGTATAGTATTTAAATGTGTGCCTGAGAAACACATAATAATGCCCCTTTAACACACACCTGTATGCCCCAGAGCAAAAATAAATAAAATCTCTGCTTTTCTAGTGGTGGTCCCACTGATGATGATCAGTCAATACATTTGATCAGCAGTTCCTGGCTGAACTCCTGAGATCCTGTGGATGTAGTTTTTCTGCAGTTTTACTTAATGAATTTTGACATGTTAAGAGTCGGTTGTGTGTTCTTGTTCACTTGAGGTTAGTTTCGATCACAGAAATGAAAGAGGGTGTACTTCCTTCTTCAGATTACTGCACATCTGTTCAAAAGCAAACATTCATTTTATGATTTTAAATGAAATATTATGAAGAGAATGGAGGGATTGGAGATATTTTTATCTGCCTAGTCTGTTCTTTACGGCTTTGATGTTTGAAATAGATTTTCTGACAACGTTAGAGTTGCTGAGTTTATCTGCTGGGCTCTGAAGAGCTGCAAACACATCTTCCTAATGATTACATTTCATTGATAATTGGATGCTTGGAAAGGTCTGCACGTGTTTTAATCAGGAGATTTGTTTTTTATTATTTCTTCTTCTTCCAGGAAGTAACCTCCACCGACTTGCAGCCTGGCCCTGACATTAGCAAGCTTTTAAATGATTTAAATGTTTACGAGCAAATTCCCCGGAGACGTTTCCAAACTTCTCAGTGTTTCTGAGCCAAAAGCTGCAGGTTTCAAGAATGACACAGCTGTTTCTTTTGTTTTGTTTTATTGTTATTTTTTTTTAGTTCAGCAGACAAATTTAAGAATCGTCTGTTTCTCATGAGACATAGACAATCACAGAGAAATCTATAATTCATTTAATAGAAAAGCTGTTTCGTAGCTCAGAGCATTTCAGCGCTCCAGGTTATTCTGGGCTTCAGAGACACAGTTTGGACTTGAGCTAAATTAATTGTCCTGAAAGGAGACTGTGTGTGAGAAGTGATGAGGAGCTCCTGTACCTGCTGAGAGATGGCGTAACCGATGACTGTGTCACCCTGAGGAACATTCCAGGTCACCATGGCAGAGTGTGCCCTTAGCTGGGTCACTGAGACGTTCACGGGCGCCGCGGGCACAGCTGAAACAAAGAACACAATCCCCATAAGGGCCAGTATTTTCTGATCCATTAGAAGCTGGACCGACCTGTGGGGAATTGGTCCGAGCATTAGAGAGGTCCAAGACAGACGCTTCCAAATTCATGTCTCAAATGTGATGGATGAGACTTCTGCCACTTAGTGAAAGTAAAAAGCTTGCAGAGACGCGACTGTATAATGCTGAATCATTCAATTTAATTGGCAAAGAGAAACCAAACCATTAAAAAATAAATCTTACTCCTTCAGCCAAAACATCATTATCTAAAATTTATCTTACAATCAATTAAAGATGACACATAAAGATGTAAAGGAATGCCTGGAACTCAAAACTTTACTCAAGTTTGTTGAAGAAGCTGACACTGAACAGGGAAAGATAACCACAGCAGATAAACAGCAACTAAAACCAGATAAACAGCAACTAAAACCAGATAAACAGCAACTAAAACCAGATAAACAGCAACTAAAA